AATTTTTTTCCAAAAAAAGATTTATTAAGGACTATATTTTGGATATTAATCGATTAAACAATTTATTGAAAAATAATAAAATTCATTTTTTGAGCAATTTGTTTCTACCTGCAAATGTAGAATTAGACGAAGAGGTCAATGAATATTTAGATAATATATTTTCTATTTTTAAGAGTAAAGAGATAACACGAATGTGCTCCTTTTTCTTGTTTTTATTTGATAATTTTAATTCATTTATAATAATATTTAGACTCTTAATGCTGAAAATATATTCGAAGAAGTGGAACTTAAATGGAAATTAGTAAATTTGGGAATTAAAACTTTAAAAGAACGCCAAATTACTTTCATTTTTGATACCGTATAAAAATTGTAATGTATCATACAGATCTTATCATTAAAAAACTTGTAGAATTAATCTAATGATTGGAAAAGTTGACTTTTCAAATTCTCTGATTTATTGAAATAATAAATTGAATTAGTCTTAAAAAATTCTGAAGGGGGGATTTTTTTTCATTAAAAATGTCTGAATTAAAATTTTGTACAGAGATTTTAGAATCATGTATCGATATATTGGCAGATATCGATGGTTCTTATACTAGCTAGTAAGTAATGTATATATTCTATTACTCCGCAATTATATCAGAAATTATATCAAAATTTCTTTATAGGGATTCAGCATCAATATCATCAAAACATAATAAACTCCAAAATTCTCAAGATTCCGCAAACGGAACTAGACCAGATTTTACCGTGCAAAATTATTCGAATTATGAAATCTTTACTTTAGAGGTTGCAGGAAGCCCGACAAATAAGATTCAGAAAAAGATCAAGACTGACTTTGCCAAATTAAGTAGACAAATGTGAAATAATATAAATTATATTGTTGCTTAAGAGAAAAAAAAGGGATGTTCATTATCTAAAAATTTTCAAATCTTTGGAGCATCAACAGAAGGGTTTGACATTGTGATTAAAAGGATGATATCTATTGATCGATATGTTATAATACAAGAAATCTTTACGATTGAAGTTCCATCCTGTATTACAGATTATTATAAGCTTAAAATTTTAATTAGCAGAGTGATGGCTTTGTCAGTAAGTCTTAACTTATTACTTTTTTATGCAATTTTATTTCTATCATTTTTATATATTTGTATGTAGGTCCTCATTGATCAAAGTCTGAAGGTTCTAAGAGATAATGTTAATAGTGCTGCATAGCAACACAATGAGGACATTAACTTTGATGAAAAAATCCTTGTTATTATTTTTCATTGTATAATTTATATTATTAATAACTATTAGTTTACGGATTTCATACTAATTTTGAGAATAAACATTGATCTGAGGTATTAGCAGCTATTCATTTCTGAATTCACAATAAATGCGATATCTCGAGAACATATTTTGTGCACTCTTTTGACACAATTATATAATGAAATTATATAATACGAAATAATTTTATATATTTTTGTGCAAATTTAATTTACAAATTTATAAAATTTATTTTAATATTCCATTCTTTTTTCCATTCGAGCATTTCTTTCTTAAACTCTATGTTGACCATCTCAATATTTTCTCAAAAATTTTTCTGGTTCTCGAACTAAATATACAGATGCCAAATAAAAATCTGATGATGACTCTTTTGTTAAATCTAAAGTAACAACGATAACTTCTTTTCTATTAACCAATCCCAAATTAATTGGAGATATTTCATCTCATCCAAAATTTTCCCAGAAAGCATTCTCAGCAGAAAAGAATTTTTT